CCCCGTGCATGCCTAAGTGTCCCTGAGCAAGACACTGAACCCCGAATTGCTCCTGGTGGCTTGACTAGCGCCAATGCGAGGCAGCCTGTCGTCATCGGTGTGTGAATGGGTGAATGGTGTATGATCCTCTGATAAAGCGCTTTGGCCAGTGCAACAGACTGTGAGAAAAGCGCTATATAAAATACAGTCCATTTTTAGCTAGCCTCTTCCTCTGAATGCTGTCCTGTACTTCCTTGTTCCACCACCACGTTTCCTTATCTTCTTTCCTCCTTACAGATGAAACACCAAGCACCTTCCTACCTGTCTCCCTGATCACTTCTGCTGTAGTTTCCCAGTCATCTGGAAGTTCTTCCTACCACCCAAAGCCTGTCTCAACCACCATCTGATGCTATCTGGCTACACTCTCTCCTACCACCACTTTGCAGTCACTGATCTCTCTCAGATTGCCTCGTCTACATAGAATGTAGTCTACCTGCGTACTCCTACCTCCACTCTTATATGTAACTATGTTCCTCCCTCTTCTGGAAATAGGTGTTAACTACACCTCATCTAACTCACTCCAGAATCTCTCCTTCTTTTCTAACTCACACCCTACTTGTGGAGCATAACCACTGACTACATTCAACATTACCCCTTCAATTTCCAACTTCAAACTGATCACCCTGTCTGACACTCTTTTCACCTCTAAAACATTCCTCACGAGCTCCTCCTTCAGGATCACTCCTACCCCATTTCTCTTCCTGTCCACACCATAATAAAACAGTTTGTATCCCCCTCCAATGCTACGTGCTTTGCTACCCTTCCACCTGGTCTCCTGCACACACAGTATATCTACCTTCCTTCTTTCCATCATGTCCGCCAGCTCTCTACCTTTCTCTGTCATTGTGCCAATGTTAAGAGTCCCTATTCTCAGACCTATACTCCTGCCTTTCCTCTTCTCTCTCTGTCTACGAATCCTTCTACCTCCTTTCCTTCTTCAACCAACAGTAGTCCAATTTCCACCAGCACCCTGTAGGCCAACAGCACTAGTGGCGGTTGTTGTTAACTCGAGTCTGGACCGATC